ATTTTGTATGGTTAGAAACTGGCAATTGCTTGAGTAGGGAACACATTAAATTAACAGTTTAATAGTTAACATGGTAAATACATACATATAATACAGGCAATTTGTCATGACTCTCAGGACTACAACCAAATACAGTTTAATACTATACAAATGTTGAAGTGCATAATACATTGGGTTTGTTGTGACACACAATTTACTCATTATATCAGAACATTCATTATGAAAGTGTCCTTTATAACAAGGTTAGAGTTACCCTTGGTGCCATTTTAACCTATTGAATGCCGAAAACAACTTTCACCATTCACCACGATTAACAAACTAAAGTTGCAAAATTTGTTAACCATACTTTTTTTTTGAAAATTACGATCCAAACCTGTAGCAAATATGTTATTATATCCATATATAACTAGCATCTATGTACTTAATTTCATTAATATCCAATGAGTAGTTCTTGAGATATCAGTGGAACAAACGCACACACACACACACGTATATATAAATATACAGAATCCAATTGAGTGCTTCTCATACACAAACCTGTCTATAAAATACTATGTTGAATTACTTTGACCTGACATACCTCTGTCATTTACGTATGTATGCACATTACTATTACACTACTTATTGAGCAACCATGGTATTTGAGGTCAAATGTTAAGTTATTGTATTGCATCCATTTACATTTTCATACCATTGATCCACTGGTAATGATGAAGAATGACAGCATTGGAGTACAAAACCACTACATCCACCACTAACTTAAGATCAAATGTCAAATTTAAAAGCACTAGAGCTGCAGTTCATTGGAAATGGTATTGATAATATTTGAAGGCCAGTCATAGGTGTAGGTGTGGAATCTGAACTTGGTACAACCAGTGGAAGTATTCACAGAACAGTACAAAACTCATAAGGAAGGAAAGAAAGTAAGCAAGGAAAAGACAAAGCAAGAAAAGAGTCTTGCACAAACATATTTTATTGGGAACATGCATGGGTACAGAGGACTGACAAAAACATAATAAAATGTACTAAAAAGAAGAACTGACATTTAATATAAACTAAACATAAAAATAATATTTTATAAATAATGCTTAAAATATGAAGAACTGAGAGTTAAAGAAAATACATACCGAGAGAGGACTCTCTGAGGCAATACATTAAAACGAAAAATTTAACGAATTTGAAATTAATAATAATGCAAATGAGTGTGAAGAGAATTAGCAAGTGCAAACTATAACATAAAGCTTGAAGATGCAAAATGTATGGACTAGAACCTACTTTGCTGGTAACTGTGGTGGTAACATTTATACTGTTACAGCCAATAAATGTTCAGTAGTTCACTAATGTGTCATAAAATCAATGATATGTGTTAATCCCCTCTCAATTGAACCCTTCCACCCCTACATCAAAATTCTATGAGTGTGACATGCCATTTATCAAGGGGAGTGGAAAGGTCAAACTGAGATGCGACTAAAACAACACTCAGATAATTAGTTGATAAGTGCTTATAAAAACCAAGCAGTTTTAATAGTCATTGTGATGTTACAATCTAAAAAACTGGTAAAAATTGTAAATAACATTTAAGTCCAATGGCTGATTATTGTAGCAACTATGCGTCAAAGGATGTTTTTAATGATATCTACATTTCTTTGGTACTTATTGACCAGAATTTTATAACATAAAGCAATCTAAATAGTGAAAGTGCTTGATTATGGCCCCCAAATCTGAATAACTACTTTCACAAATTTTAACATGACACGTTTCTATAATCAGGTGTACAGTTGTCTTAAATACATATCCCATCATGCAAAGCTCTAATAAAGGAACAGGCACTTAGTACATGCTGTTAGTATATAATATTTTGCCGAGTAACAAGAGTAAAACAAAAAGCATAAAGTAAAAAGATCATTTACTGCTTTACCCATATTTACAGTAAGTTGCAAAAGCTAAAAACTAAAAAAAGTCCAACCTCAGAGTTAACATGTTCTACCACTAGAGGGGGCTAGTCACTACATCTACTCCACTACCATATTAGACTAATAGAGGGCAGTATAACACCATCAAAGTGATGTGCTTATCTATACCTTGTAATGATATCTTTCATCTGTTGATCTTTCTCTTCTTGTTGACACCGTAATTGCTGCTCTCCTTCTTTAAGCCGTGCATTCATCTCCATGACCTGTCGCCTGGTTGCCATTTCCTGGTCAGCTATTTTCGCCTGTGCTTCCACAAGC